GATGACTGCAGCCACCTGAGTAACATTATGAGTGTCAGTACAGTGGGTACTGCAGGGTGTCCTGTGTCATAACACTGAAGCGGCAGGGCAGTGCCATCTGTATCTTAAACTTGCTGCAGAGTCTTCTCTTGCGCTGGATCCCAGTCGATTTTGACAGCTTTACCAGTCACCCGATGAATGATTCAGGCTTTCACACCCCAAAACAGTATGTATTATCTCTGAATTCAAAAACTCAAAAAGGCCCGCCACTCGTTGTGACTCTTTTTTTTTGTGGTGGGCTATGCAAGGTGTAGCCACTAGCATCTCACTTTGTACAGGATATCTCAGCATGCTGCAGCCACTGGACCCTAAGAAACATCGGGGTTGTAACTATCCCTTAAACCTCCATAGGTTCTACCACATTCCGGCATACATGTATCTGACTAAAACATCTAGGGCACTTGCTACTTCTTGCTCACTAAATATATTAGCATGATGTCTTTCACATGCAACTTGACCAGCATGATGTTCTAATGGGAAATCAAAACGGTCAGTGTCCCTCTGTGCTATGATTTGTTGAAACAAATCAACACATTGGAGTCTATATTTTTTTCACTAATCAACTATAGTTTCACTTGAACTAACTAATGAGACTTTAATTTCAACGAGCTACTTCATTTCACAAAAACTGTAATTTCGTTCACCATTGATGGATCCAGGTCACAATTTATCCCTTGATCTATGTAAGTCCCTATTCTGATCAATGGACCATGCTGGTATTTTGAGTCCTCAGGATTAGTGTTAGTTCAGAGGCAGTAAATAATATTCCCTGAAAGTCTGGCTATTTCCCCTCCCCAGGGCATAGTCATCATGGTAAAAGGACACAGGACACTATGGAGGAGGCTGCAGGGGAAGATTCGTAGCACACTCCTGTGGTCGCATGGCAAGGTCTTTCCTAAAGAGGACTCTCTCACTCCTCAATGAAAAGGCTGCAAGCCTTTGAACTGGGTCAGGTATAGGAACCAGGGAAGAGGCTGTGAGTCCTCGTGGTGATTGCATCAGTTTCTGCGCACCACAAACTAGAATTTTCTTGACTAGCCTGCTCATCTAGTTCATTTCTAGGGACTCTGTGATCAGTTGGATACTACCCAGGACTTCTGTAGGTGAAAGCATTTTGTTTTTCACACTGTCCTTGTGGCTTTTTCTGGTAATTGTGCTCACCTGTCTCTGAGAGTCAAGTGTCTGACATCCATTGTCTGCCACTTCAGAATTCCATGATTCCCAGTCAAAGCAAGGAATCATGTTTAAAAACTTTTTTATAAGTTTTATTTTTTCTTCCAACTTTAATTTTAGGTTTGGAGGTACATGTGCAGATTTGTTATATGGGTAAATTGTGTGTCACTGGGGTTCTGTGTACAAATGATTTCATTACCCAGGTAGTGAGCATAGTATCTGAGAAGTAGTTTTTCAGTTTTCTCCCGCCTCCCATCCTCCACCTTCAAGTAAGTTCTGGTTCTATTGTGCCACTCTTTGCATCCATGTGTACTCAATGTTTAGCCTCTGCTCAAAAGTGAGAATATGCGGTATTTGGTTTTCTGTTCCTGTGTTAATTTGTTTGGGATAGTAGCCGCCAGCTGCACCCGTGTGGCTGCAAAGGACATGATTCCATGGTGTATATGTACAACATTTTCTTTTTCCAGTCCACTACTGATGGATATCTTGGTTGATTCCATGTCTTTGCTATTGTGAAAAGTGCTGCAATGAATATACGTGTGCATGTGTCTTTATGGTAGAACGATTTATATTCCCTTGGGTATGTACTCTGTAATGGGACTGCTGGGTCAAATGGGAGTTCTGTTTTAGGTTCCTTGAGAAATCATACTGCTTTTCACAGTGGATGAACTAACTTACATTCTCGCCAGTAGTGTATAAGCGTTCTCTTCCCTCTGCAACCTTGCCAACATCTATTATTTTTTGACTTTTTAATAAGTCATTCTGATTGGTGTGAGATGATATGTCACTGTTGTTTTGACTTTCATTTTTCTAATGATAAGTTTTTCATATGCTTGTTGGCCACATGTATGTTTTATTTTGAGAAGCATCTGTTCATGTCATTGGCCCATTTTTTAATGGGGTTGTTTTTTGCTTGTTGAATTGTTTAAGCTCCTTATAGAGTCCAGATATTAGACCTTTGTTGGCATAGTTTGTGGATATTTTCTGCATTCTGCAGGTTGCCTGTTTACTTGGTTGGTAATTTCTTTTGCTGTGCAGAAGTTCTTTAGTTTAATGAAGTCCCACTTCTCAATTTTTGTTTTTGTTGCAATTGCTTTTGGAGTCTTCATCATGAAACCTTTGCCAAGTCAAAGATGTCTATAATAGCATGTCCTGGGTTTTCTTCTAAGGTATTTATAGTTTTAAGTTTTACATTTAGGTCTTTAATCCATCTTGCATTGATTATTGAATATGGCAAAGGTTCAGTTTCAGTCTTCTGCATATGAGTAGCCCGTTATCCCGGCACCATTTATTGGATAGAGAGTCCTTTCCCCATTGCCAAAGAGTAGATGGTTATAGGTGTGTGGCTTTATTTCTGAGTTTTCTAACCTGTTCCATTGGTCTATGTGTTTGTTTTTGTACCAGTACCATCCTGCTTTGGTTACTGTAGCCTTGTAGTATATAGTTTGAAGACAGGTAGTGGGAAGCCTCTTGCTTTCTTCTTTTTGCTTAGGATTGCTTTGGCTATTTGGGCTCTTTTTTGGTTCCATGTGAATTTTAGAATAGTTTTTTCTAATTCTGTGAAAAACTATTGTTGGTTTGATAGGCATAGCCCTGAATATGTATGTTGCTTTGAGCAATATGGGCCTTTTAACAATATTGATTCTTCCGATCCATGAGTATGGAATGTTTTTTCATTTGTTTGTGTCATCTCTGATTTCTTTGAGCAGTGTTTTGTAGTTCTCCTTGTAGAGATCTTTCACCTCCATGGTTAGCTGTATTCCTACGTCTTTTGTTCTTTTTGTGGCTATTTTGGATGGGATCGTGTTCTTGATTTGGCTCTCGGCTTGGCTGTTGCTGGTGTATAGAAATGCTAGTGATTTTTGTACATTGATTTTGTATCCTGAAACTTTACTAAAGTTGCTTATCCGATCTAGGAGACTTTGGGCAGAAACTGTAGGGTTTTCTATAGAATCATGTCATCTGCAAAGAGAGATAGTTTGACTTCCTCTCTTCCTATTTGGATGCCTTTTATTTCTTTCTCTTGCCTGATTGCTCTGGCTAGTACTTCCAGTGCTATGTTGAACGGGAGTGGTGAGATTGGGCATCCTTGTCTTGTTCTAGTTCTTAGAGGAAAGGCTTTCAACTTTTCCCCATTCAGTATGATGTTAGTTGTGGCATTTAATGATTATGGTTACTATTTTTTTTTGAGACAGAGTCTTTCTGTGTTGCCCAGTCTGGAGTGCAGTGGCATGACCTTGGCTCACGATAATCTCTGCCTGCTGGGTTCAAGCGATTCTCCTGCCTTCCGAGTAGCTGGGATTACAAGCATGCGCCACCACCACACCCAGCTAATTTTCGTATTTTTAGTAGAGATGGGGTTTCACTGTGTTGCCCAGGCTGAACTCTTGACCTCAGGTGATCCACCTGCCTTGGCCTCCCTTAGTGCTGTGATTACATGTGTGAGCCACCGTGTCTGGCCGACTATGGTTACTTTTAATCTTAATTTTTCTGTACCTTTATGTCACTGAACAGTTTCTACTTATACTGCTTGTTTTTAGGTTTAAGTCACATTTTTTGGATCACACTGTTAAGCAGATTTTTTTTCCTTTTTTTTTTTTTTGAGACGGAGTATCCCTTTGGCACCCAAGCTGGAGTGCAGTGGCGTGATCTTGGCTCACTGCAACCTCCACCTCCAGGTTCAAGTAACTCTCCTGCCTCAGCCTTCTGAGTAGCTAGGACTACAGGTGCATGCCACCTGGCCAATTTTTGTATTTTTAGTAGAGACGGGGTTTCACCATGTTGGCCAGGCTGGTCTGGAACTCCTGACCTCGTGATCCACCTGCCTCGGCCTCCCAAAGTGCTGGGATTACAGGCGTGAGCCACCGCACCTGGCTCTGTTAAGCAGATTTAAGGAAATTGGTACGCTTATATGATCTTCCTCATCTTCTGCTATAGTTACTGAAGTTGTGTATATTATGTTTATGTAACCAGAGCTTTTAACATTTGCATCTGTTATATAACTATGATTCCCACAGTTGTTTTAGCCTTTAGTCTATAGTTATAATTATTTTGTTCTCACTGTTAGGCATTTTACCACAACTCTGCTGATATTTTTATTGGGAGAAATGTCTCTGACTTTCGTGACAGACTCATGTGAACTTTTTTTTCTTTTTGAGTTTTGCTTGTAAATATCTCTCTTTTGCCTTTATATTTAATGGCCTTTTTGCTGAGTGTACATTTATAGGGTCTTCACTGTCTTTTCTTAAAATTCTTTTTTAGACATTGTTCTTTAGTCTTTTAACATTGAATAGTGTTGTAAAAATTCTCAAGCCAGCCTGCTTATCTCCCTTTATACATAACACGATTTTCCTTTTTTTCATTCTATCATATTTGCAAGGAATTCTATCTTGGAAACCCAACAATTTCAGTAGAATATGTTTTAGTTTAAAGTAATGATCAGTTATTCCTGAAATACAGTATACTTTCTAGTCTATTGTTTTGAATCTTTTATTTCAGGAAAATTTTTTTGAAGTATGTCTTTGATTTTTTTGGTGAATATTTTCTGTTTTCTTCAGGAACCACACATTTCGTGTCAGCTGAATACCTCTTCCCTTCTCCTTTTTTGTTCTTTCATAAGTACCTCGTCTGTTTTTCAAAGTAAGTGTTTTCAGGCTTTATACAGAAGTACACAGTGATGAGCCACGCATACCTGCACAAGAAGCAATCTTTATGAAAGAAACTGAACAGATATTTAGTCAAATTTAAGGCAAGGGTACTAACTTTTTTTTTTTTTTTAATCTCTTTAGGTTTTCAAAATTCACTTCTACAAATCGTAATTCCAGAGAAAATCCAAACAAATACAAGTGACAGTTCAGAAATAGAATACGTAAGAGATATTTTTTCGCAACCTAAATGTTTATATGAAATTTCTTATTTTTATTATATAGCTATGAAATATGTCAAGCCCGTTTTAATATGAATATAATATCTCTTGTATTTCTACTGATAGGAATTAAAAGCTTTGATGGTAAAAGCAAATAGGTAAATTAGAATGTTCTGTATTTTGTTAACGTTTGTCATTTTCTTATGGTAAATTTTTTTTAAAGTTTACATATAGAAGAGAATGTAGAATTACATGTTTTATCTGAGTGATATCTAGGACATCAGCACAAAGAGAATAATTTTCTCCAAAATGTCGAAGACAATTTCTTTTCAATAAAGCCTCTTTCTCAATCTCCACCTCTACATCTAGCAATTCTCAGACAAGAAACCTTTTATTCTACTCTTTTTATTAGAAAGGGAAATACTTTATTTTATTCTTTGATTTATTTAGCAACTATTTCTCTAGACTTGTCATGTGCATAGCTATATGCTATAGGTGTCTTAGGCGATTTAAAAAAAAGAAATATGATTAAGCAAGATTTGCTTGTAAGTGACCGATCTTTTGGTAACATTCCATTTTTAATGGTTTTGTTGAGGTGCAATTTACACCACCACAGAATTCACCCATTTTAAGCATCCAGCTCAACAATTATTATAGCAGTACATAAATAGAATTGTGCAAACATTACCACAGTCCAATTGTAGAATGTTGCTGTCAACCCTTTTTAAAAAGATCCCTTATGCACATTTGTAGTTCTTCTCCAGCCCTTGGCAACTGCTGATCTGTTGTCTGTCTCTATGTATTTGCCTCTTTAGGGGCATTCTATATAAATGGCAACATGCAATATGTAAGCTTTTGTATTAGACTTTTTTTCACTTAGGATTATCCATTTTGTAGCATTGATCAGGTTATTAATTTTTATTTCTTAAATGTGGATATACCACATTTTGATTATCCATTCTCATTCTCCAGTTGATGGACTTTGGATTGTTTTCTGACATTGAGTATTATGAATAATTCTTTTATGAGCATTCATGTATGGACATGTATTTTCCCTTGGGTAGATTCTTAGGAGTGAAATTGCTGGGCACATGGTAAGTTTGTGTTTAACATTTTTAGAAACTGCTACAGTGTTTTCCATAGCGACTGTACCAATTTACATGTCACATCAGCAATTTTTGAGTGTTTCAGTTTTTTCACATACTTGTGGACATTTGACATTTTCTGTCTTTTGGATTAAAGCTATTGTAGTGGGAGTGTAGTGGTATGTAATTGTGGCTTCTATTTGCATTTATTTAATGAATAATTATGTTGAGTATTTTTTAGGAGCCTAATAGCCATTTATGTGCCTTTTCTGTGGAATGTCTACTCAAATTATTCTCCTATTTTAAAATTTAGTTGTTTATTTATTTTTGAGTTCTATGAATTCATTATATATTCTGGACACAAGTTCTCCATCAGATATCTCATTTGGAATTATTTTCTCCCAATTTCTGGCTTGCTTTTTCATTTTTCTCAGTGGTATTTTCTGAAACACAAACATTTTCAATTTTGATGACATTCAGTTTATCAAATTTTTTTTAATGGTTCTTGTTTTTGGTTTTGCATCTAAGAACTCTGTTATGGACTGAATTGTGGCCCTTCAAAGTTCATATGTTGAATCCCTAACCCCTAATGTTACTATATTTGGAGATAGGGCCTTATGGAGGTAATTAAGGTTACATGAGGTCAAGGGCCTTATGGAGATAATTAAGGTTATATGGGGTCATAAGGTTAGGGATTTAGTTAATCTAATAGGACTGGTGTACTTACAAGAAGAGGAAATATACTAGGGGTTCATGCATACAAAGTGAAGGCCATGAAAGGATACAACAAGAAGGCAGCTGTCTGCAAGCCAAGAGGAGAGGCCTCACCAGAAATCAGCCCTGTTGGCACCTTTATCTTGGACTTCCAGCCTCCATAACTGTGAGAAAATACATTTTTGTTGTTTAAGCCACCTCGTCTGTGGCATTTTGTTTGGGTAACCTGAGCAGAGTAATCAGATTTTGGTATTGTGAAGTGGGGTGCTGCTTTAACAAATACCTAAAAATGTTGAAGTGAATTTGGAACTGAGTGAAGAGTAGAGGCTAGAAGACTGGTGAAGTACATGCTAAGAAAAAGCCTAGATTGCCTTGAAGGAATGGCTGGTAGAAATATGGATGCTAAAGGCAATTCTAATGAAGGATCAGAAAGAAAAGACTTATAGAGAAAGCTTTTATAGTCTTAGAGAATATACATATAATTATGAACAGAATAGAATTGGTAGAAATATGAACATTAAAGGTGTTTCTGGGCTGGGCATGGTGGCTCACACTTGTAATCCCAGCACTTTGGGAGGCTGATTACCTGAGGTCAGGAGTTCAAAACCAACCTGGCTAACATGGTGAAATCCTGTCTCTACTAAAAATACAAAAATTAGCCTGAGGTGGTGGCAGGCACCTGTAGTCCCAGTTACTTGGGAGGCTGAGGCAGGAGAATTGCTTGAATCCAGGAGGTGGAGGTTACAGTGAGCCGAAATTGGGCCACTGTACTTCAGCCTGGGTGATAGAGCAAGACTCTGTCTCAAAAAAAAAAAAAAAATAAAGTGTTTCTGGTGAGGTCACAGACGAAAATGAGAAATGTTATTGGAGACTGGAGGAAAGAGATCCTCGTTAAAAAGTGGCAAAGAACTTGGCTGAATTGTGTTTTAGTCTTTTGTAGAAGGTAGAAATTGTGGGGGACAACCTTGGTTATTTAGCCAGGGAGATTTCTAAGCAAAATGCTGAAGATGAGGCTTGTTTTGTCATCACCGCTTATAGTAAAACGCAGAATGCAAGAGGAGAGAGGTAAATGGAAGGAATTATTAAGCAAAAAGGAACAAGAACTTGAAGATTTGAGAAATTTTCAGCCTAATTTGTATTTTTCAAAATGAGAAATCATGTTTTGGAAAGAACACCAAAGGTGTAGCTGGACAATCAGGCAATAAAAAGATTCCCCATGATTTAATCCGCCGTGTCAGCTGAAGCCAGGATCAGAGATGGGATTACATCAGCAGAAACACTGCCAGCTGGAACTAAAGGGAACAGATAAAATTGGATAGAATGAAGGAAGGCTGTTTAACTTCTGGGATTCTACAGGATAGGACAATAGAGTTGTCTGGCTTCAAACATGCATCATCCTTCCCAAACACCGCATGTTCTCACTCTTAAGTGGGAGTTGAACAATGAGAGCACATGGACACAGAGAGGGGGATATCATACACTGGGGCCAGTCAGCGCGTGGGGGGCTAAGGGAGGGAGAGCATTAGGATAAATACCTAATGTAGATGACGGGTTGATGGGTGCAGCAAACCACCATGGCACATGTATACCTATGTAACAAACCTGCACGTTCTGCACATGAACCCCAGAACTTAAAGTATAATAAAAAAAGAAAAAGAGAAGAATGACCCTGAAAGCAATTCGGAGATCATCAGGGCTGCCACTCCTGCTACTGGCCCAGGAGGCAAGGCTGCATTCTCTTTGGTTTCAGAGAATAGGGCCACCTCCTTGGTAGACTAGGATGTCACTGTTTATTACCCGAGGAACAAGGCTGTCACCCAGAGCTGTGGGGTCAGGGCCGCTTTACAGAGCTGAAGGGATGGGGCCAGTCCCCCGGGCCATGGGAGAGTTGCTGTCCAAGTGGGCCCAGCAGGGTAGAGCATCCTGTCAAAGAAGAGTATTCTTGAACCTTAAGATCTAATGGAATTTGTCTTGCTAGGTTTTGGACTTTGTTGGGATGGTCACCCCTTTCTTTTTTTCTGGTTTCTGCTTGTTGGCATGGGAATAGCTATTCTATGCCTGTCCTACTGTTGTACTTTGGAAGCACATAACTTGTCTGGTTTCACAGGTTCACAACTGGAGAGGAATTTTGCCTCAGGACGAATCATAACTTGAATCTCAACCATACCTGATTTAAGTGATATTTAGATGGGATTTTGAACTTGGAATTGGTGCTAGAATGAGTTCTTCATCCTGGGGGTACTTGATTCTTCATCTGGTAATTTTTAATGTACAGTGAGTAGATTGCAAAAATCTTCTCCCATTCCGTAGGTTGTCTGTTCATTCTGATGATTCTTTTTTTTTATTATTTTTTTATTATTTTTTATTTTTAATTTTTTATTATTATACTTTGAGTTCTAGGGTACATGTGCATAACGTGCAAGTTTGTTACATATGTATACTTGTGCCATGTTGGTGTGCTGCAACCATCAACTCGTCAGCACCCATCAACTCCTCATTTACATCAGGTATAACTCCCAATGCAATCCCTCCCCCCTCCCCCCTCCCCATGATAGGCCCCGGTGTGTGATGTTCCCCTTCCCGAGTCCAAGTGATCTCATTGTTCAGTTCCCACCTATGAGTGAGAACATGTGGTGTTTGGTTTTCTGTTCTTGTCATAGTTTGCTAAGAATGATGGTTTCCAGCTGCATCCATGTCCCTACAAAGGACACAAACTCATCCTTTTTTATGGCTGCATAGTATTCCATGGTGTATATGTGCCACATTTTCTTAATCCAGTCTGTCACTGATGGACATTTGGGTTGATTCCAAGTCTTTGCTATTGTGAATAGTGCTGCAATAAACATACGTGTGCATGTGTCTTTATAGTAGCATGATTTATAATCCTTTGGGTATATACCCAGTAATGGGATGGCTGGGTCATATGGTACATCTAGTTCTAGATCCTTGAGGAATCGCCATACTGTTTTCCATAATGGTTGAACTAGTTTACAATCCCACCGACAGTGTAAAAGTGTTCCTATTTCTCCACATCCTCTCCAGCACCTGTTGTTTCCTGACTTTTTAATGATCGCCATTCTAACTGGTGTGAGATGGTATCTCATTGTGGCTTTGATTTGCATTTCTCTGATGGCCAGTGATGATGAGCATTTTTTCATGTGCCTGTTGGCTGTATGAATGTCTTCTTTTGAGAAATGTCTGTTC